GGGTAACAAGAGCGAAACTCCGTCTCAAAAAAAAAAAAAATAAAATAAATAAAGAGAGAGATAAGATTGCCCTATGTTGCCCAGTCTAGTCTCAAAATCCTAGGCTCAAGTGATCCTCCTGCTTCAGCCTCCCAAACTGCTTGGATTTCAGGCGTGAGCCACTGCACCCAGCCAAAAAAAAAATTTTTTTCTTGGACATACTGCAGATGTAAAGTGGCAGAACTCCCATCGTTTGAGTGACTGTTGCTTTCTTAGTAGGAAACAGTTGTCTAAAGTCAGAGATGATCACACACTTTGCTGTTTAAAATTACATCAAGTAAGAATGAAACAGCTCACTTTTGCCTAGAGGAGCTAAGTCACTTTGACACAGAAAAGCAGTTCCTATTTACAATCCAGGTTTGGAGCTTCAGATAAGGAAACAATATTCTGCATCGATCTAAACCTTACTGCTTCTGCGAAGACAGAACACTGGGCCCACTTCACCATCCAGACCTGATCCCTTTACGCACAGTTCTGATTTGCTTTGAGCCAATCCGAACACTGCTTCATTTACATTTCACCTAAAAAATAACTTTGTTGAGACTCCCTCTTCAAACAAAGGCCCATAGGGCCTGTGGCAGCGGTCCCCAACCCTTATGGCACCAGCGGCTGGTTTTGTGGAAGACACTTTTTGTATGGATGGGGTGGGGTTGGGGGAATGGTTTGGGGATGAAACTCTTGAGATCATCAGGCATTAGATTCTCATAAGAAGCAGGCAACCTATACATCACTCACATGCCCAGTTCAGAATAGGGTTCACACTCTTATGAGAATCTAATGCTGCTGCTGCTCTGACAGGAGGCAGAACTCAGGTGGTAATGTGAGTAAGCCCCTGCTGAATGCAAAGAACCCTGACATATCTTGTCTTTGCCATCACTGAGCTCATGGATAGGTGAGGGGTCAAACACTGAGGAACTGAATAAAGGACCCTGGAGTTACCCATGATCCTTTTCATCCACCGCTAGTCCATTAACCCGCCCTTTGGCTCCACCTTCAAAACATGTCTCCATCCTGCAACAGCCACAACAAAGTCTCCAACACCTTGATAAGACAGAAACGCAAATGAGAAAATGCTAAATAAATAATTAAGAAACAAGAAAAGATAGGCTGGGTGTGGTAACTTACTCCTGTAATCCCAGCACTTTAGGAAGTCGAGGCAGGAGGATTGCTCCATCCCAGGAATTCAAGACCAGCCTTGGGCAACATGGCAAAAACCCCATCTCTACAAAATATAAAAAATTAGCTAGATGTGGTGGTATGCACCTGTAGTTCCAGCTACACGGGAAGCAGAGGTGGGAGAATCACTGGAGCCCAGGAGGCCTAAGCTGCAGTGAGCTGTGATCGGGCTGCAGCACTCCAGCCTGGGCCTTGTTATTGTGAGAGCTTGTCTCAAAATAAGGAAAAAAAAAAACATATTCCCAGACTACTTCTCATCACATCCACTGTCATCATGTAGTCCAGGCTGCCATCATCTCTTTTTTTTTTTTTTTTGAGACAGAGCCTTGCTCTGCCACCCAGGCTGGAGTGCAGTGGTGTGGTTCACTGCAACCTCTGCCTCCCAGGTTGAAGCAATTCTCCTACCTTAGCCTCCAGAGTAGCTGGGACCAGAGGTGTACACCACCATACCCAGCTAATTCTTTGTATTTTTAGTACAGATGGGGTTTCACCATGTTGGCCAGGTGGGTCTTGAACTCCTGACCTCAGGTGATCCACCTGCCTTGGCCTCCTAAGTGCTGGGATTACAACTGTGAGCAACCACACCCGGCTTGCCATAATGTCTTAATGAGACACAGTGATAGCTGCTTGCTGGCTTCCCTGTTTCCATTCTTTCGTTCTTCTGTTTCTTCCTTCCTCTTCTTTCTTCCTTTCCTATTTCCTTTCCTTTTGATGAACTTTGGCTCTTGTTGCCCAGTCTGGAGTATACTGGCACTATCTCAGCTCACTGCAGCCTCTGCCTCCTGAGTTCAGGCGATTCTCCTGCCTCCTGAGTATCTGGAATTACAGGCATAAGCCACCAGGCCCAGATAATTTTTGTATTTTTAGTAGAGATGGGGTTTCACCATGTTGGCCAGGCTGATCTTGAATTCACCACCCTCGGCCTCCCAAAGTACTGGGATTACAAGCATGAGCCACCGCACCTGGCCCCCCGTTTCCACTCTTACCTCTCTCATAACAACAACAATAGTTACTTAAGAGAGTATTTATCTTATGTCAGGCACTGTTCTAAGTGCTTTGTATATAATAATAAGGAGGGGCCAGGTGCGGTGGCTCACACCTGTAATCCTAGCACTTTGGGAGGCCAAGGTGGGTGGATCACCTGAGGTCAGGAGTTCAAGACCAGCCTGGCCATCATGGTGAAACCCCATCTTTATAAAATAATAATAATAAGGAGGAGAAAAATGATGACAGATGTATACAACAGCCAGGTGACTGTATAAAAATCAGTTCATGTCTTTATTGGCACCCAGCAGTGACTAGCCCATTTTTACCTCAGGGCCTACCCCTGAGTCAGTCTTGCAGAAGCCACTTAATTAAGAGTTTGATGAGAAGCAGTTTCCAAAAGAGGCTTAGGAGAGGGCCTGGATGCCAGGTGGGAGATAAGATGATACACGTTAAGGGAAGTGGCTGCCAGGAAATAACTTGAAAGCCTGCCTTGGCAACCAAAGGGAACACTCATCAGTTTGTTCTCATTGTCTCTCTCTCTGTCTCTCTGTCTCTCTCTTTTGAGACACGGTCTTGCTTTGTCACCCAGGCTGGAGTACAGTGGTGCAGTGTCAACCTCCCAGTCTCAAGCAGTTCTCCCATCCTGGCCTTCTTTTTTTTTTTTTTTTTTTTCCATTTTATTTTTAAGCTAGCCAAGCATGCTTGTCGGGGGAGGCAATGTTAAATCAGCTTAACAATAACCCACAACATTCGGACCAACTCCATCTCAGCCTCCTGAGTAGCGGGGACTACAGGCATGCGCAACCATACCTGGCTAGTTTTCATTAGCTCTGTCTTTGGCCCTTTCAGGGACAGTGGCAGTGGGGTTATCTCTTATAGGGGATTTATCACTTAGAA